CATTGTCCTTTTTGATCGACTCAAAAAAGAGGTTATCAATTTGACCCTTGTAATGTTGCGATGGTCTATCGGTATTTCTAAAGTTACAATGTAGTTTATTCAATTTTTTAACATCAACAGTGGTTAGTAACAAAATGTTCATTACATTTTCTCCGATAATTTTAGTCCAATAGGTTTTTTGTTTAGATATGCCTCACCGACCTTTGGTTTACCCTTTAGAGAGAGAAGTTTATGATAAAAGCTTAGTAAATATTCCTAATAATACTTATTCGAGCGAATACCAGATTTGGCACAAATCTAATGGACTGGTAAATAGTTAAATACACAATCAAATACCTACAGAAATGTATGTTGTGCTAGTCAGGCTAATTCAACGGTACACTAACTTCGTTTTGTAGCTAGTTTAATCGCAAATATTTGAACAAGAATGTGGAGTAGGTAAGTGGTATCATGTTCAGCGATAATTGCCATTGCGAACTTAAATACAAATTATTTTAATACTTTGCTATTATGAAACAGAGCTTCATTTGCTTTGGCCTAGTTGGGCTTGGGCTTATGTGAATTTCATGAATTACTATTTATAGCAGCTATAAAGTATGACAGTAGAAGTAAAACAGAGCAAAATTACAACCCGTAAAAGTAAGTACAACAAAAAACGTTCAACGCAGAGACCGTAAATAAAATTGCACGCAGATTGTCGGGGACCCAAATTGCATAATATTCGGATGGCCGTCAGTTAAGCCAGTCACCGCACAGACTAGATAGAGCTGTGCTTCTGACACACAAAAGAAAAAAAAACATTTCCCGCAAATGGTGGCGGATTTGGAAATTTATGTTCGTATAATCTGTAGTTACGTTTCACTTCGCTTTCATACCCGCAAATGTGGTCCCGTTGGCTTATTGTATATAAAAGGACCACCGCATTGAGGTCCTTTAAGGTCTGATTTAGTGGGATGATTTTTGTCGCATTGACCTACTTTTTGAAGAGATATCGCGAGACTTTTGACCGTGGTGTGAGCATCGCCTGAATCAATCTGGGATTCGTCAAGTCACGCTTGACATTACGGCTGCAGTAAAATTTGGTTCATTGGTGCAAACACGGGCCAGTAAATTATGATCGTTATGATAGCTAGGAATCAGAATTAGATTTTAATGTTTAGTGTTATATTTACGGTTGGCAGTGTCGTTTCGAGAAGGTGGTTGCGGGTCGTAGGCGGGATGTTCAGCAGTGCGTTCATACGGAAGACTCGTCGGTGTCACTTTAGTTTATTATTGTTCATACAGCCTGTCCAACCTCTATAGACTGTCATTGTTTGTGTCAGCTTTCGTGCTGTAATAACAACTTAACTCAACGCCATGCGTGGGTGGAAAGCTTTCATCAAATTACAAAAGTAAATAACATTCATCAAATGATAATATTCATTAACTTTTTTATTATTCGAAATTATTATTTTCAGATCAATACTAGAACACAGTTGTACTAAGTAGTTATTTATTCTGTGGTCCTAACTACTCTGAATAAGCTGACAGATCTATAGATCATAGAATTGGATGTGTATTTTTAATTTATTTCATATTAGGCTGGTAGGTACTATTTAAGAGGTTCAATAAGATGTCACTAACTAATTCTTCTATTATAAATGATTATTTGTAAGATATTAAAAGGTTTATGTTCAGATTCATCTCTTACAAAATGTAATGCACAATTCTACAACACAAAAAGGATACAAAATATGTACATAACTACCTACCTAATTATAAAAATAAAAAATGGAAGACTTGTAGAGGACAAAGGTAAAAAGGTACTTGTTTTCATAGTTATTTAAATTATAATACTTAAGTTTTGTAAAAATGAGTAATAAGTATACATCAACAGAAGAAGTACACAAAAGTATTTAGTTTTTAAATTTTTGTTCCAGATCTCACTATGATATTTAGATGTAAAATTATGTTTTTGCACACATCTACAACACAGGAGAAAATTGTATTTTAGAGCAAACTTATTTTTAATTTTATTTCTAGTTCTAAATTTGATTTATAAAAAATATTTCTAAACAGTGTTGGCATGTTTACCATATGTTGTTAGAAAATGTAAGTAGGTGTTGTATTGTTTAATATAATAATTATAGTTATGTTTTTATACTACAACATAATATAGATACTTGTACACTTATTGAGATAGAACTTCAGAAGACATAATGGAGAGTTGTACTATGTAGAGAAACACAATAAAAGTATTGTTTTACAAGTTGATAAAATATTATAATAGCTAACTATAAAAGTATAAAATATAGTATTTCTATAATGTTTTCTTTTTGTTCTTGAATGGATAATAGTTGGTAGACTAAGGGCCGATTTTTCAATCATCAGTTAATTCTTATCTGTGGAATTAAATAAATCGACCCTACAGGCTAATTTTCCCAATGCCAGATAAATTTTAACTGAGGAATACCTTTGAATATTTCACAGTTCTTGTTCTTCCACACTAAAAACTGTTAAATGTCAATATTATTCTATTGTTAAGAATTAACTGATGATTGAAAAATCGGCCCTTAGTTGTTAAAATGAAAAGTGTATAATTTGATAAGTTATTGAGAAAAAGATTTTAAATAGGATTTGTATGCGCAATATTAATTTGTCAACAATAAATCAATGGTAATTTTGAAAGTAGGTAGAGTCAAAAGACTGACTGTTGAATTAGGAAAATTCTGTAATGAGTACAATGTAGTAAGAGGAAGATTTTAACAATAAACAAATAAATAGGTATCTAGTTTTATTCATGGTAAAACTTGTTTTTCCAGAAATTTTGATTGATGATTTTATAACTAATGCGAAAAATAACAGAACAATGTCATGATTTCCTTAACCCATATATCCCCAAGTGGTCACCGGTGACCACTCTCCACTAACGTTTAGAGGCTACTTTTGTATGACCAAATTTAGGGGGATGGATTTCAACGGGTTAACAGTGCTATTATCTAACTACCTATAAAACTTTTTACTAATATGATTTCAGTGTTTGTGGGATTACAAATAAATAGATCAGATACCTAATAATCAACGTGTCTACTACAAAGTAAATTTAAAAGGAAAACTGTTTCGATGACAGTAAAGTAAGTTAGGAAAGAATATACAATGTTTATGAACTTCAAGTTACTCAATTTAAATATCTTTTATCTTCAAGTTAATTTATGTATCATTTTGTGTGTAAATTTTAGATGTGTAATCATATTACACACCTAAAATTTTATATTTTGTAACATTACTACCTGCTGAGCTAATATTACTGATTTTAGATCAGTCAGAGATACCTCCAACAAGACACACAACTTTTAAATTGAAATAAATAGGTATTTTCAATTCAAGTAAGGCTTTCACTATCTTCTAGACACACACTCTTTATCTTTTTATTTAATTTGAACATTTAGGTATGTAATTTAAACCATCCAGGGTTTTAGGCTTGACATCTCTGTAAGATGAGAATTTAATTTATTTAATTACAATTTATTTTTAGGTGGTGGGTACATTAAAATAGTCAGAAATCTTCAATGATCACTAGGTCATTCCAGGATAGGATCAAGTTTTCTGGATGCTCAATTACATATTAAAATTCTTATTAGAGAATTAATAAGATCCATTATCAAATGCCTGATGAAAACTAGGTCAATTTCTCAAAATATTTCTCATCTCAAAAAGATTACCGAAATCTAAAAAGTGATAGGTACTGGTTAGAAATTGAAAATACCTGTAAACATAACCAGCACCTACAGACTACAGTATTTTATAAATTGATCATGTAATCGTTGTAAACGCTCGTCACAAACAAGAGAAAGGAGCGAGTTTAGAAACAAAAAAATATGACCTTTACGGCCGAAAATGCTCGGAAATGTAGCCAACTCACAACATACCTTATCTCCTGGTATGTTTTTCGCCGACATGGTGTGTCACCTTTCTGTTCTGTGTTCTGACGTCGTCTTGGGGACGATTTATCCAGAGGAAGGATCTCACTGTAGCCGTGAGAGCCCAGCATACGACACAAAACACTCCACTTTACCAATCACTTGGCCATTATCACTGATCGAAAGATGCATTAAAGCCACAAACATAATAATCGACCCATCGTTTGGAGTCGTAATCAGCACGATTTCCCATTGAGATTCATCGACACAGATAATTTTTCACAACACTATACACAAACACAGCGACTGACAGAAGCTAACTTGATTGAGTTGAGCTTGACGGAAAATGGCGAGGGATGGATAACGTCCCTCCCGTCCCGCCTCTCGCCCCGCGCATGCCATCTACATCACAACAAGTTCCAACAATTTTTCTAGAGGGCACCGCTGTACAATAACAAACAATGTCCTTGAACAACTTAGATATTTTATCAATAGATGGCGCAGTGTTTACAAATATTTTATTGTCAAAAATGTAGATTTTGCAGTCGATTATTTAGTACCCAAGTTTGATAAAAACAAAGTTATTTACAAAGTTGCGCAGCGATATAATAGTGCCAATTAAAATGTTTTGTTTATATAATTATGTCCACTCAATTTGAGTCCTATTTTTTCTAATAATAGCTTGCAGTGCCATCTATTTTACGAAAGACAAAACGACGAAGTGGTAAATGCTCTAATATATTATTATTAGTATCCAAATCGAATTTTGTTGTAAGATTATTAATTGATTTGTACTAAAAATTAACTACAACTAAAACATTGACACATATAAAAACTCTAGTATTAAACCACTGATATTAATTAAACCAAAGCCATTTTTATAGTACCAACATCAAAGAATTTAATTCAACGATATCTTTGTAGTTTGTGTATTTTTTCTAGTTTGTATTTCGTATGTATTTGTTTTGTTTTTTTCTAATATTGATTCCTGTACATACCTAATCGAAAAGTGCATTTTAGATGGAAAAGTTTTTGTTTGCTTGCAACACTAGCTTCCGTTTTGAATTTTTGAACCATAGAGTTTAATTAGGCATATCTATCTATGCCAGCGAGACTAGCTCGCGCAGACAGACGCGCTTGCTTGAAGTTTATTTCGTTCTCTTCATTTCGCAAAATGGCGGATGGAGGCGTGGATATAGATTTGTATGCTGATGATATTGAAGCAGATTTTAATCGTCAGGTGAGCAAGTTTTATTAAAAATAATCATTTTAATGGTATAACATGTTATATTAACCGATTTGCGGCGTGTTTTCATTTTCATTATACTATGTATCGTGTTATTTAATGTGTTTGGGCGGTCTCCTTCAGGACGAGTTCGGCGGTGAAAATGTGGATTTATACGACGACGTGATCGCTGCACCACCCAACAAACCGGATGATGTCGATGGACCACCAAATGCGGCACCCCAGCACCAGCATCCACCGGAGGAGACAAACGGGAGCGTGAATTATCACAACAACGCATCAAACCACGGCCATCATGGCCGCCGTTTTCAGCTATACGTCGGCAACCTAACTTGGGTTTGTACATGATTTTGTCTCATTTAGATTATAATGTAAATATAGGAGTTTTATTGTTTTAGATGTCTGTTTTTCTCTTGGTAACGAGAAAAAGGGATGTCGATAGAGCTGCCGTTCGCCACTCTGGTTTTGTTATCGAGCCGTCTAGATAATAATCAATGTTTTACATAAGCTGCTATAATTATGTCAAATATAAGTTGCGTATAATTCGTTCAGGGTTGAGTTTGAACTAAGTAAATTATTTTTATACCCAAACCACATGATATTTTCTTGGACGTACTTAGATCAGACTCTCAACACTATGTATAGATCAGGATTCTAATTACAATATTCCCAATAGATGTTGGGATTGTGTAAAACTTGTTTTTATGATGTATATCTATCTTCTATCTAAATATAAAACATTTTTCATGATAACTTGTTACCTACTAATTTGTATGTGATATACTTACTTCATAGTAATATCTGGATAATATTCTTTATTAATCAAAATTTGTTGTCATTTTGTTGTTAACACTTAAGTGTTATTTTGTAATCTAAAAATTCAGTAAAGTAACATCCCTACTGCATTATGTAGTGACTGTGATCTAAGCACAAAATATGTATCAAACCTTTTTCTATGAATTCATCGGCACAAATATCAAAATCTGAGGACAGATGGCAGTTCTTTTCGGCAATCAGATGAAAATGTTGGAACCCTGCAATTGTATCTTACTGATATAACATTCAAATTAAGAAAGAAAATAATTATCACAAAAATTGCACATAGATTGAAATGAGTGATATGTTCTGTAATTTTTCATTTGGTTGCTACATTCTTTATCTAGTCAATGTGCATCTGTGTATAAACAGTAACTGCACAGCCGCACATGTGAGTCACAGGCCTTATTTTTAACATATCATTAAATTATATTTTTTAAAAGTTGAAGTACAATTTTTAATAAGGCCTTAAATTATTTGTTTGGCTAAATATCTAACTAAAATGAAATCATTAAGTGTAGCAAAATCTTAATGGACTAAGCATTAATGAAGAGTGGTCTTTAACGATCCAAACCTCTTGTTTAATGCTATTAGACTATTACTTATTACTTGTATATTTACTAAACGATTTTGCTATACTACATAATAGAAGCAAAAACAAGGAAGTGTAATTATTGACAAATTAATTTAAGTATAATAACAATTGTCAGCTGAAAATTATTCAGAGATTGGATTAGGTTATGCTAAAAACTATTTATTGCTATTTTGTTCTTTGTTTGTATACACAACAGATCAATTTTGATGTGCCTATTTATTACTTTTCAAATATATTTATAGATTTGTTTTGTAAGTTTAGGCTTGTCTTAGCTATTAAATATTTAAACTCAAAATGTATGACTAGAGATACATGAATCTCCAATGCCTAGTTGGAACTCCCTACTATTCGACAAATATCATTAAAAGGCATGTGCAAAAAAAATGTTATTGATTTTCTTTAAATTTTAATTTTGTAGTGAATGTTTGTATGACATAGTGTTACCGTCCATAATCCAGTCTCTAGTTACCTACTTAATACTGTTACACACCCTGTAAAGATGTCCTTACATACTTACATAAGATTAATTACTAAAACTGTAGCATTTCTGTCAACTGACTTAATCCATTATTATGTTATAAATCCTAATTTTAGATTGTGTTTAGGAACTTCTTCAAAAACTTCTCAGTGTCACAATTTATACAGGATTTGTAAGATAATTAAGACTTATTTCTTAATACAACACACATCTTGTTTTTGCTTCATTTTATACAGGTTAAATATACTTATTATATCAAATACCTATCAATATTTTAGAAGCAGTAAATTTTTCACACAGATTGTTCTTAGCAAAAATAATTTCAATGGTATTTTAATCTATGTGAAGAAATTTACTATGTTATACAAATACTTTTAGTTCGTTTATGCACTGATCAAGGAAAAGGTCTTGGCAATTTCTGAGATATTGTTTCACATGATCTGCAATTTGCAGAATCATGTTTAATCTGTGATATTTTTCATAATGTTCTATTGTTTTTATATTTTATTTTATTGGATTTCATAGTAACATTATTTGGAAATGTGCAAAGAGATATTTGCATTTTAGGATATATTATTATCTATACTATGGTTTGTACATTTAACATCACCATTCCTCATACATTATAGATTAGTTACAGCAAAGGAATATAAGTAACTTGGTATATTTGTTTTGATTGATTCCTGGCTGAATTAGATTTAGTTTCGCTGTAAATAGTTTCATAACTTCATTTATTGAGTAAAATCATTGTTTTTACAAAAACCATGTAGCTGAAATTCATTTGTGCAATTTTAAAAAACGATATATTGTATATATTGAAAAATATGATGTTATAAAGCAGCAACAGTTGGTAGTTTAGTAGATTGGCTGCAAAGTGATGTGATACATTACAAATATGAAATAATCATGTTCACATTGAGACTTGAAAATGTATTCATGTTACCATAATATCATAAAATTCATTTCTGTATAGTTATGGGCAATTCTTTGTTAAATAATAAATATCTGATAGTTGTAGAACAAGTTGAAACATACACATAGGAAAAAAAAACATTGATGTTAGTAGTGTTAGTACACAATACTCAAACCAAAAATAGTTGTTGTTAACTAAAAACTGCATTGACTAAACAGTTTGCATGCAGCTGAAACAGCTGCCATCAGCAACAGCTATGTTTGGGTTCAATAAGTACAAGCCATATCAAAAGTTTGTAAATATCTCTTTGATGTATTGCATTGTTGGTTTTGTGGCAGTCACTCTTGCTGTCTTTGTGATTAAGGCAAATTAAATTTTGGCATGTCAGTATGAATGTGATTTAAAACCTACTACAAAAGTAATAGACAATTTCAAAGTTTCATGTTTTGCCATTGCACGGATATCTCTTATTTTGACATCCCCAGATCAATAAACATGAATCTTAAATGAACATACTTTTGTGGTTTTCATTGTTGTGAGTTGTGAACACTGAACTCTGAATGTTGAGAAGAATGAATGATTTATATGTATTTATATATTAGTTCATGTAACATAATATATTACATAGATATCTCTTCCAGTGATTATATGTTAACCACACATCTTTGAATATTTTGCTTGATAATATTAAACACTGTCTTTGCACATATTTTTAGTACAAATATGATACAAGTGTTATGTATGACATAAAATAACTTACAATATTGTCAAAATGGTTGTCTGTTATCGTTACTATACATTGCTTTAGTGAATAACATAGAGACTTATGTGTCGCGTACTGTGTGTAGGCTATAAACTAGTTCGTCGGGTGTAGTGAGGGATTGCGTTCTTCAATATTATTTCATAACGTAGTGACGTATATAGCGTTATTCGCCTATTGCAACATGCTTGTCATTTAATAATCGGAATCTTGAGGCAGGACTTGCATGAACATTATAATCCTGTTCACTCAATATTCTGGTTTGGTTGACCCTATGTATTTTACTTAACTAATGTTTTTCTTTATCAGGTTTTCAGAGGTAAGATGTTTGAGCTTGTTCCGCGTATTATGTAGCTATTTGTGTCTTTATTTGATTATATTTTTATTGTTTTATTTTATCGTTTTTGTTTCTTTAAACTTGGCCGATTTGTTTTCACATTTTGTCTGTACTGCGGTTGGAACCTGTCCAATTTTATGTTGTTGTGTAAACATATCATGTACTAATTTTTAATTGGCGCAAATTGTTGAATGTTTATCGCTACAGTAAAATTATAAATACCTGTATCTATCTACTATACCTCTAAAAATGTTTATATCCGGGCGAAAATATTATAATAATACTTATAAATTTAAAAGTATTGACACTATAATAATAGTATTTAAATTCAATAATGTATAGATAAAATAATACTTCGCGTCGTCGCACGTAATTTATATATTCTGTCAGGATTATGTATCACGTTTTCTATAGTATTACAAGGGTTGTAATTAAAGAATATTCACATTGTTATATTTCCCTGTAACATTTCAATATTGGCAGATGATTGATGGCATAAATACATACATTGTAATAATGCTAAAATTAATATTACTTCTTACTTATGTAATAACTCCCTGCTTAAAACATTTTTGTACGTAAGGTATTTTATTTAAATCTTGTCTAGTGTACCAAAGTATTTATCACCTATCTTCGTTAGACTGATTTTGAATAATTTAAGTCGTGATACAATTAAAGTGTAAAAACTTTGTTACTGACTAAAGATGTTAAATCCTTGTACTAAGTGAGTTATCCTTCCTTACTGTTATGGAGGATCCCGTGTCCCGTTTGAGAGTGATGGAGTCTGCAGTTTTGCGAACTGCTCTATTTATTTAACTTGATACTTCCGATATCTGTGATAAAGTTATATGAATGACAATAAAAATATGGTAACAATAAAATCTGTTTCCTTTTTCCCGAAGTCTCCTGATAGATGCGAGAGTACGACATTAGTAAAAAAACATAGTGCTTCGTCTTAAAATTAGTGCAAAAAGTTAGATGAGTGTAGGGTTCACAGACACGTTTTGAGTGACACATTCATGTTGGCTTTGTACACTTCACAAATATTTACGGAAGTTAGGTGCATTAGCTGGCGTATGAATAAATCGCGTTAAATATCAATGACTTAGACATTCGCGCTAAATGGTTATGTTGTTGGACGCGGTACCATACGTCAGAGTCGTGGCTGGCTTCATCACGTATGTATACAATTTATCGCTTAGCTGACCAGCTTGTATCGTGGTTTAGTTTTTGGTAAAACCTTTTGCAGTGGGCGACGGACCAAGACATTGCTAACGCCATCGCAGACATTGGCGTTACTGATTTTCAAGACGTGAAGTTCTTCGAGAATAGGGCGAACGGACAGTCGAAGGGGTTCTGCGTCATATCCCTCGGCTCTGACCAGTCCATTCGGATGGTAATGGACAGACTGCCCAAGAAAGAGATACATGGACAACATCCTGTCGTCACTTTACCCACAAAGCAGGTAAGTAGGGAGGGGCGATGGTTTATCTTAAATACAGATATGATTTAGATACAAATTAAATTGTTTCAAAAAATAGATTACATCAGCGAGATTCGTCCGAGTCAGCCATTTCAGAGTCACGCTCGTGTTATTTGTTGGTCAAACAATTTAATCTGTATCGTGGCAAGTATGCAATCTCCTAAAAGCAGGGGAAAAAGTAGGCATATCAGGATATATTTTTGTGTATTAAGAACTAGTAAAAATAATACTAAATTAATCAAATTATACGGCTAACGTAAACTGTTCTAAGATGGAGGGCATATATCTGACGTTTGTCTTGCACGTTATCAAATTATAATGAGCCCCAGCATAACTTGAAAATATTCGAGTATCTTTGAATAGTTTACGTAAGCTCGCTGTAATATCTTGATTAGATTCGGAATTCCATAGATGAAATTGGAGTCGTTATTGTTATAAAAACTTGTTGCTGAATTAAGAGTAAGTAACAAATCTTTGAAAGTACTGAGAATTAGAATTGGAACGAAAAATAGTTGGATAGATTCACTTCAACTGTAGGTTAACTCGTTAAAGTAGGTAGCATATAGCATTTCAATCTCTAAAAACAATAACTTCGCCCCTTCGCACACGACACGCATCATAATACTAAAACAATTTTTTATCAAATGAGTCCTATTGTATGGGTTTGTTAGCATAACGATCAATAGAAAATGTCAAAATTAAGTTTACGACACGACATCGTGTGCCAAAGGGGTCAAGTTTTCGATATTCCATTTGGGAAAGGTACCGTAATTTTTGGTAGGAATTCAAAGTTTCAATCAAGAGTTGTGAGCGATTACAATATCGATTCAGAAGTCTACACGATAAAGTCCACATATAAAACATCACGATTTGTTATCACTATAACTAGTACCTAATTTCATAATTATACTACAAGTCGCACTACTTTTCCCAGAGTAATGGAGTATAGGGGTAGACTTGATCTTTACAATGTATGATAATTTTGCTAGTAGGATACAACGAGAGTTTATTTCACAGGCCTTGAACCAGTTTGAGAGTCAGTCTAAGACTAGATCGACACCACCTGGACCTAACAATCCAGGTATGAGAGGACCACACCCGGGCGGCCCGCCCGGTCCACACCCTGGAGGTAAAACTATTCGATGGAACATATAACAACCAGCCTAAAACTCCCGAAAAGGGCGGCAAAGGCGATTAATTACTAACCTCTCGCCAGTTATGTTATAAAATTGTAACAAGCACGAAAATGTGCAATCTAAACTTCAGTATTTTACTAAAAGGGCACGGAAAAAGGACCGTAACGACTTAATAATATTGGGATGGAAATAATTATGCTTATGTTTATTTTCTATCAAAAGTATTAGTTTGGTCCTCTTTTATTGTTAAAATGATTTTATTGACTCACAATACTAACATTTAAATAAGTACCGTACCGTACCGTATGCGTGAACACGTGTCTACTACATTGCTGAGCTTAAAGATAATTATTTCGTTAACGTTGAAATCTCCAAACTTATTGAGATTTCTCCATCCCATTGTATGCAAATAAAATATTTGAATACATGGCAAAATTACATTTTATATTCGCAACTTTGAGCATACGAATAGTATATTGCTCCATCAACACTGCGATAAGAGGACATACACATTTTTATGTCTTTATTTAACATGGAGCTTATAGAACAAGATACTGACACGAGAATGTTGAACAGATTTCTTTGGCGGTGGTCCAAATGGGCCGGGCCCCAACGGGCCGCGCATGATAATGCCGGGCGGGGCGCCGCACCACCAACTGCGTGGGCCGGCTGGCGGGGCGCACGGGCCGCACGGTCCGCACGGGCCCCCGCACGGTCCGCCGCATCATATGCCGCAGCACCAGGGACCACCACCACACCACATGCAGCACCAAGGACCTCCACCGCATCAAGGCCCTCCACCAAGGGGACCGCCTATGCAGGTTTGTCAAGCTTTTTACATCACTATAAATCACATCACGATAAACAAGACATTTGTTTATATAAAAATAAATCTTGAGTTTCTTTTTATTTTTTATAAAACATCCATTTTTAAATATACTAATACATTTATCATGAAAATTGGTTCCATTTCCGCTGTTCTCGATTGATTGTAATTAATTAGTCACTTACATTCACTTAATTTATTACAATTTTGTGGTTTTAATCGAACAACATTTTGTGAATAGTTCCAAGGCCCACCTCAGCTACAACGCGGGCCTGGTGGTCCCGGAGGTCCAGGTGGTCCCGGCGGTCGTCCAGGACCGGACTGGGGACCGCGCGGGCCGCCGCAGCAGTTGCCCCCGCACCCACAACCACAATACGGGCCTCCACAACATCAGATGCCTCATCAAATGCCACCACCCCACCCGGTTAGTATCGTTATCAGAGAAATCAACATTTTTAAAGCTAAAAACACGCTTTTAGTCGTATATCTTCTTCATAGGAGAAATAGACCTAATTACGAGCCTAAACTCGGATGTTTATAAGCAAGCAGTCTAAAGTTCCATAAGCCACTAGCTTGATGATAACATAATTTTGCATGATCGTGAGGGTACAACAATTAGAAGTGCGTGTAATCCAGATTACATAGTTCGTTACAAGTCGATCTAATAAAACCTTGTTAAAAAGGGTGAAAGCTGTGGGTTCTAAGAGTTTCGAATAAGGTTCATTACCAGGTTATTATATTTCAGGGTGGTGCGGGTGGTTTGCCCCCTGGCCACGCTGGGCTGGCCGGCGTGCCCCGGGGCCCGGCCCCCTTGCCCCATCATCCAGGTATGCCCCCCTACCCAGGTACGCATTCATTCATTTTCTTTATCATTACTGCTACTAAAAATACTAACAAACTAACGATGAATTTCAGAGAACAACTGGTAAAATTCTTTGAAGTTTGGTGAATTTGTAAACTTCTAACTTAATAACCAGTAACATTATGTTTAAAAACAAGATACTGTTAATGATCTTGTTTTAAGTTCAATTGTTCGTGTAATGATTGGCAACAAAACGTCAGAGAAAGTAACAGTAACTTGTAATATGAATTTATCACAAATGACACTCCAATTTCAAAATTACTGATTTTTCCTCTATAAATCTTTACGGTATTGTTTATGCTAAATGTCCGGGCCCTAATGTCCGTATTTCAAGTAGATTTTTCAATTATTTTTATTCCTATCCCCCTTAGTTTTATTTTCAAGCAAAAGTAGCATCATTTCACTACATTAAAGCTTAATTAATGTATGTTATCTGTCTGTTGTCTGTGTCCTTGTCATGTGTTATGTTTAATGTTGAGTGTACACTATGTTATTGACTGGCAAGTGTGACTACCAAGCAATGAATCTCGGGTTTGAATCCCAGACATGACCATAGAATCTTGAACTGGGTTGCAACACACCCATTACTATTTACACAGGACTTGGGTATGATGTTACAACTTACATGTATTCTTCGAAGAGAACACAAAGGAAGGCAGTGAGATTACTGATGGTTCTTTTACTTAATAAGATCTAGAATTGGCTGCAACACATTGAGGCTATCGTATTTTCTGCACCAATGTATGTTTGTTGTGTATGTTTAACGATTCTAGCCGTAGCATTTACTGGTCAATAGTTCTTCAAATAGTTGAAATAAGTGCAGGAGTATAAAGCGTGGTGTTATTTGTCTGCAGGCGTGGGCGGCGGCGCCCCCGCCCCGCACGTGAACCCAGCCTTCTTCGCGCAACAACCGCCGGTACAACCACAACCCGCGGTACAACCGCCACCGCAACCTGGCCCGCCTGGTAACATAAACATAATTATTAAGCAATAAATAAAAATTAATAGCAATAATGCACGGAAAAAATGACATTGTGATTCTTGAAGAAGGTTTATTTGAATTAATACTTAATTGAATTAATTACTAGATTGTTAAACGTAGACCACGTAACTCGAGCAGTTTTAAACTACGTGAGGCTTATGATCTGCGCAGCATTGTGCGATAAATTAAGCGACAAGTTATTAAAATACATAGGGCGGGCATCAATGTATATTAAACTATTGTAACAGGTCCAGGCGCACCATACGGTCACCCAGCTCACGGCGCCCCACCACCGGCACAAGGACCACCGCCGGCTGCGAGACAACCATATGGAAGACCACCTCAGGTAGGGTTCAAATATTTTATGTGATAGTATAGTTTTATTGTTGCGTATTGATATATTTTATTATAGAGTGATATAAGCAAATATCTCCTGATTTTAAGTAATGTCGTTCATGGTATAATAGCGGCAGGTTGGTCAAATATGACTTTTATCACATTATCTTGTCACACCATATCTTCGTCTGCTGTGTGTGTTAACGATGGCTTGTTTGTGGTGCAGAACTACCCGGGCGCAGGCGAGGCGGGGCGCGGCGCGCACCACGGGCCCGGCCTGGGGGGGGCGCACCCCGCGCACGCGCCGCACGCGCCGCACGCCCCGCACGCGCCGCACGCGGCCCACGCGGCCCACCCGCCACACGCGCCGCACGCCGGCATCAGCGAGGCGGAGTTTGAAGAAGTAATGTCTCGTAACCGCACAGTGTCATCCAGCGCCATTGCCCGGGCTGTCAGCGACGCTGCGGCCGGAGAGTACGCCTCCGCTATTGAGACTCTCGTCACTGCTATATCACTCATCAAACAGAGCAAGGTAAGCTTATAACTATGTCAACTTACTTCTTCTTTACGAAACAGTATGGCAGAATGCAATCGCAGCAAAATGTTTGTGAGCGTGATGTATGAATAGGACGGACAGTTACTGTGTTCTCTCTGGGCTTCACGGGAACCTCACTCATATACTCATATAGGGAGTTCTAGGTCAAAGAACTAGATAAAACCAATTCCTAAACTTTCAACCCTTTACTAATTTATCACAATACATAATATATGAAATATTTTCATTAACAGGTAGCACACGACGATAGGTGCAAGATCCTAATATCATCACTGCAAGATACGCTGCATGGCGTTGAAACTAAGTCATATGGTAGTGGGGAGAGATCTCGGCGGTCTAGGTCGAGAGACCGCGATGCACGTGCGCATCACCGAACGCCTAGGCGGCGAGAGAGATCTGCCAGCAGATACCGCGACCGCAGCAGGGATCGGGAGGATCGCGACAGGTAAAATTACTTGTTATATACTATAATATTTCACACAGCCTCTGCAATGTGCTTATTTACCAAAAAAACTCTGTTTATCCAGTAAATTTTTGTTTGTAATACATGAAGTAAATCCTCTATCTCCCTGCCTGTAAGATCGGAAATAGTGTAGAACACTATTCTTCAGTTTTTTTTGCATATTATGAGATTAAGTAGAAATTTCAGTTGTAAGATACATGCTATGTGTTACATGCTTGATGTATTTCGACCACATTGGCAAGTTTCACAAGTATGTGCAGTTCTTACACTATGCAGGAGATGTTATAGTTGCACAATTATGGTGTATTTAACAATGGCTTTACGTGCTATGCACTGCAGTCGAACCATGCGCAATAGGTATCTTAACTTATGTCGATAAAAACTCAACTAAACGCATTTGCGCTGTCTACAAAGTGCGGGTAAATTAAGTAATTTAATTTTATACACATCACATTTCATGACAAGTACGTTATTTTACGTTCGATTAGTAAGTCATTAGGTAGTAACATCATACATAGTCATGCATGCAATCATTAATCGTCGCAAGAGGGCTAACTAGGTAATACGAACGAGTGACGTTCTATGTTCCAGTCGTAGAGTCGGAGGCTCTTATACCGTTAAAGTATTACTGACGCTCTGCCCTTGCTTGCAGGTACAGGGAACGGTCGAGGGAACGTGATCGTGAACGTGACCGCGATGCGTAAGTGTCGCGTTTCTTCACAAATGCTCGCTACCATCACGCACGTTTACCTTTGGCGTGACAGTATACTAGGTTCTTTATTAGCTGGTATTCGGTGTTCGCTTGTAGTCTCTTTCTCATTATCCTTGACACGAAGTAACGACTCAAGTAGTGAAGATTTCGACGTATGCTTGTCATGTGTACCCCTGCGTCAGTGTGGTTTCCATTCCTATACTTAAAGCTGATTGCCCAAGTAAATAAAGGTATTAATAGAAGTCATGTCTTTGTTACAGGTATTACAGAGACTACCGTGAGCGTGAACGCGACAGGTCTAGGTCTAGGGAAAGGGAACGTGCCGACCATTACAACAGAGGTCATAGCCGTGAAGAGAGGTAATTATCACTGAGATTCATTAAAATAGACTTTAAGTCGAGCTGTGTACCGTCCCATAAATTGTTTCTGTTATCAGTACTTTGACGTATGCTACATGCTAGTGGGTACAACATAATTGTATAATTGTTAATACAGAATATGAAATAACTAAATGAAAACTTAATTTTTAAAGCACGTTGATTAATTCTGTTTATATTTTAAACCAGTGTAGACACTGTATATAATGATTAACGTTAATTACTATTAGTTCTACCACCAGGCCGCGCAAGTCGCCAGTAGAGCCGACAGCGGAGAGTGGTGCGGGAGATGCTTCGGGGGCCAAGTCTCGCGCGGCGGGGGCGCCGTACTATGACGAGAGATACCGCGAGCGACGCGAGAGGGAGCCACCGCCGGCAGACCGCGAGCGAGACCGCGAGCATCGCCGCGACGCGAGGCACTAGCACAGGCCGCGCGGCCTCGCTCCGCTCCGACCACTGCAACCACTCCAACCACATTACACAGAGTACAGACACTTCAGGATATGGGTCCGACAGTACACACAATACATACACAGAACCTGGTACCAAGACGCCATGTTATTTCATAAATACTTATTTTGATAGTGAATTCAACATCATTTTTACTTCATCGCCATTACAAGTCAATATGTTACGCTTGTCAACATTACATGCAAAATTTTCTTTTTTAGTCACTATTTATAGTACTTACGTTGCGTGCGATTTGTTATCTGTGTGTGATATATATGGACCTTTCTGTGGAGCAAAAAGTTGACATTAAAAACGTTTTATATTAGGTACAAATCCATTTAAAACAGGGAATTTAAAGTTCCGGACAATACCGAGTAGGGTATAAAATATTGTGCAACTTGATATGTCATGCCTACTTGTAATGGATATTGAACAGAATCGACCTCTAACCGAGTGAAAGTCAGGTTATTATTATTCTAAAAAGCAATATGTACTGAAATTCTAAAATACTTTTAATAGTTGAATTTTAAGCAGTAAGTAACCAAAGGATTAATAGTAAAATCCGTTGTTTTTTAGTAGAATAGAATATACGCCGTAATGAACTATTTAACCAAATAATTTTGTATTTTTGCAATGCAAGATGTAAATACAAACTGAATGTGTAGATTGAAATAGTTACTAGAGCGATTCGTTTGCTCAGACATTCGTAGATCAAATTGTTTTCAAGTCTACATTAATTTCAAAATTTCCATTTTTTTGCAGATGTTAGGAAAATTGACATTCCAAAAATCCCTCGTACACTTTGATCAAACTACAAATTCTGTGTTTATTTCAGATTAAGTTTAGACCATGTGTCTCCTATATATCTGGAAAAGATGTAGTTGTATTATGTTCGCGTAATTTGTTTTGTCACGTCATGGTTTAATTTTTAGCCATCAAGCATATTGTATTACTTTTTATTTTCCACTGGTTTTTAATAACTAAGTTTTCAATGAGAAATCTATCAGTAACACTGTAAGATTAGTCATGTAAGTTTTAAGATATTCTTATAAATATATGGATGTTCCGTATGATTAGATTATGACACTGATTTAGTTGTTAATTAAATAAATTGATGTAATACATAAAGCAAAAGTTGTTTATATTTTTAAATCCCTTATTTGTTATAGTATTTTTGAAACATTCCAATTTATATGTGTGGCCGCTTGTATTCTTCTGTTAACAAAATAATAAAGGTTGCACGGTTTAAAATCGTCCCTGCGGTAGATAGGCTGCTAGCAAAAATTCATAGTACAAAAGCCACGTGCTCGTTCAATATGACTGCAAATCGGAAAAGCGAGCGTGAATGCCTCACTGAACTTGCCAACAATGCTTTGAAGAGTTTCTATTATGTAATGTTGTAGTTGCCTGGATTTTTTAAATTGACTTAATGACTTACGAATTGACAACGGAACTCCTTGGACTCCTTGCTCGCTAGTAGCACCTTTGATCATGTAATTATGTTGTGTTGTTCCTTCGATCAACAATAACAACTAGATAAAGGGTTACGTACAAAATCAAGCTCCAGTTCTGTCCGTGTGAATAATAATAGTAAAAAAATAACAAACAGAGAAAAATATTTTAAAATAGTTTTAAGTTCAACCTAATAACAACCATGGCACCTAATAATATAGTCATAAATCGTCAAAATATTATCTAATACTTACGACCATTCGTCACATAAGACAAGAAAAGTATTTTCTTACTCCTGTCATGTAGAAATTAAAAGACATAAGTTATACAATATTTAGTTTGAATTCAACCTTAAGCTCGAACAAATAAAGATAATTTTTCCATTATTGTCTTGCGATCTATATCGTTTTGTTTTGTTACGTTTTGCTTCTTCAAATTTCGAATTTCGCTACAGGAGGTATGTATGGAGTCGCGTTGGACACTAAAATAATTTTATAATATGAAAATTAAGATTTCGGGATCTTAGTATACATCACTAATTTTTATTAGCGGTACGTTTTTGTGTATGATATGTTTATTTACTTTATCATTAAAAGTCTAAGTCTAAGTCAAAATCATTTATTTCAGTTAGACCAGGAAGGCACTTTTGAACGTCAACAATATAAATTTAAAAGTGAAGCTATTTGCTCATTCCAAGGTGTAGATTCCTATGGAGAAGAACGAGCAAGAAACAATACAATTTTATTTTTCAATACAAATCGACTCGATGCATCCACTGTTCTGTTTAAACAAATGTTGGCGAGGCTTGGCCAAGGAATCGCCAACACACGCACAAACATTGGTGGCGTTGGTTTATAATTGATAATTTTGTCTAATTTGATATTATTTACTAGTTTAAAAACTTAAAATATAACTTACACTTTATGTATTTATCAAAAGTAAGACACTCCGGCCGTTATACTGCTTTTTCGGTTGTTATTTTTGCAACTTGCAATTATGCACTGCGGCATCGTGAGACGTGAGTACGTTGGCCGTGTTTGGAGCATACTTAACAAAATAAGAGCTCACTTCTCAAGTGAGCTCTTATTTGTCGAGACGATTTTCTTGCGCTGACCCGATATCTAGTTGTTATTGTTGATCGAAGTGTTGTTCATTTAATTACAACCCTTTGAGTACCTACCGTCATTATAGACACAATTAAAGAACAATAGGTGTGCGGACATCGGTGTCCTGGTGTCATCGCGGCGTTTGACAGTTTGTAGAAGAAAAGAAGTAATTCAAATGCTACATATCTTACTTTCCTATCCTACTACTAATAATATAAATCCAAGTTTGTGAGGAGGTATATTATGTGAGTGTGTGTATGAGTTTGTTACTGATTCACGCAAAGACTGCTGTTCGGATATAGACGAAACTTCACATTAATGTAGGTCATGCATCAGAATAACATATAGGATACAATTTGTAATGGCTTGATGTAATTTTGGGTGCCAAACGTTAGCCAAATCAGAGGCCTTAGTACGGGTTTGATTTACGTTTAAAGTATTCGAAACAAGTACGGGTTCGGCGCTGTGATTGGCCGGTGCCAATGAACCAACCAATCATAACGCCGAACGCGTTCTTGTTTCGATTACTTTTAACGTAGAACTAACTCGTACTAAACCCTCAGGCCCCTGAACAATTACCCGTGACTTCATCCGCGTAAAATAACGGTAGAAATTGTGTTTTTGAATTAGTCTTTGCCAAGGTATATTTATTTATTTATTTAAGCTTCATGCACAAAGTGTACATAAGGTGGACTTAATGCCGCAGGCATTTTCTCCCAGTCTGACCTTTGGGTGATGCAGAGAAGAGTTAATGGTGTGAGCAAGAAGCAAGCAACGAATTAATTGAGCAATTAAAATATACACTTAATAAATATACACTTACATATTTCAGTGATAAACATAAATAAACATAATTATAATATATATATACCTACACACGAGTACAATAAACTATACATACATGCATTCATACATACATATATACATACATACATAATTAAAGACTGTGAGTAAGTAATTAGCTCGATGATTCAGCCAACCTCCCCAAGAGAAGCTCACGTACTTTCTGCTTAAATGATAGACGAGTCGACGTCGTCCTGACATCCAGGGGGAGCGCATTCCACAGCAAAATTGCTTGCACGAAAAAGGAAGAATGATAGAAGTCAGTGTGATGAGTGGGACATTGAAGAAGACGGTTATGAGAAGAACGAAGGTTTTTACTGTGGTTCGCGCATAAATATTGAAAATAAGGGGATAGATAACTGGGCAAAGAAGGTGAACAAAGAAAGAAGAATAGGGTGGTCAGCGCCCTCTGCTCCCTGCGCTGGCGTATGGGCAGCCACTTAAGTAGCATCCGATGTGCAGAAACATGATCATATTTACGCAGGTTGAAAACGAATCGAATGCAGTTATTCAGAAGTCGGCCAAGTTTGTTGAGGAGATCTGCATTCAGCTCATAGTTGCACATATCAGCATAATATTCTACGGCTATACGACTGTATAAATCAGAATCGATTCAGTACCTACTTAGGTTATATTTATAGCGAAATTTAATTTATTTTCGTGGTTTCAAAAATAAATAATCGCACGGGGACTTTTAATCAGTTTTTATCACTGAAACCTCACCAGACGGACATTGTACCCCTGTCAGTGGGATTGTTAATTTTTGAAACCACGAAAATAAATCCATTTCGCAATAAATATATAACCTAAGTAGATAGTTCATAATTAGATAATAGAGCCACGTGGTGCAAACATGAAAGGGCATTTCTAAGAAAATGAAATAACATTAAAGTACCTAAGTATGTTTCTAAACTGCAAGCTGCCCTGTTATTTGAGTAATGATTTACTATGAAAATTCAATTAATCAAATTATTTTATAAGAAATATACACATGATATTATGTTTGTTATGATATGGTTCAATTTCACAGTATCTGTGCAATAAAGTTTGATAAATAAATAAAACAAATAATAAACATTATAAAGGTAGGATTACAAGGGTCTGAGTCTAATAACATTTTTAATAGATGATTATCTGTGCCCGTGAATTCGTACGCGTGGTTGTCAAAAAAAAAACATCTTTTAGCTAACAGTACATAGGCTATCTATTTAGGTAGATATTATGACGTAAACATCCCTTTAGAAGGGATTTTGATCATTTCCACCCCCCGGCGGTAAAATATATTTAGGTAAAATATAAATATGATGAAAGTTTGTATGAAACTGTCAGTTTTACACTGATTGGGTTGAAATTTGGCATGCAGTTAGATGTTATGACGTAAATGTCGCCTAGCTTTAGACTTTTAACTAAGGGTGGCGGATCTTGGAAATTTGGAAGAACAATTTTTCCATTTGAGCAGCATATTCCGTTTGTCTCTTTCCTCCATTTCAGAGCATCACAAAAATTATAAAATTCTGTCATGTCACCCACGAAAGTAAAGCCGCATAATTAACCACTCGGTACATGAACAGTGACGACACGCATGCTCGATCTGATGATCCCTCTCCGACTCTCGCGCCTGTTTCGTGGCCCTGGCTGATACCGAATATATTGCTATCATTCGTAGTTTTTTTTACTGAAAAAACAAAACAAACTTTTGTTAATTTACTAATTACAAATCCAAAAATATAGACAAGAATTATTATTGGTATTAATTAGGCTTATCGCTTAATTCTAGACGAATATGTAGGTAAACCCTGATTTTTCCCTATTGCCCAAGATAGTAAAATATTTGTATCGTCATATTCCATGGACTCATCAGTTTCGCTATTTGTATCATTATTTAGGTATATGGCATCGAGCTCGTTCAATTTCTAGGCGAGATTGACGCTGCTGTTCTACTGTTTCTGCTCGTCTTAGTTCATCTATTCTTTCCCTTTCAGATGCAAGATAACTTTCTTTGTTTCTTTCTACGCCTACATAGTTATGTCTAGCTCGAAACTCTCTTGGGAGCGCAGATTTGTGGTACGAGTTCTTTGCGAACTTAAGCATGACTCCCTTTCGGTGAATGTCTCTGACTCGCGCGAGAGAGCGTGACGCTCTCGATCAGCTGACAGCCGCACGTCACATTCCGCGATACTTTCTTGGGAACGCAAATTCGCGGTTAGAGTTCTTTGCGAATTTAAACGTGAATCCCTTTCGGTGAAAGCCTCGGTCTGTAGTGAGAGGGCATTACTCTCTCGAACAGCTGACAGCCGTACTTGGCGTTCCTGGATGCTCTCTTGAACCGCAACGTCGAGGTCTGTGTTCTTTGTGAACTTAAGCGTGAGTCATTTTCAGTGAAAGTTTCAGATACAAGTGAAAGAGCGACGCGCTCTCGGCTAGCAGATAACCGTGCTTCACGATCTTTTTCTCATTCCTGAGACCTACTAAGTGTCATACTTTTCGCATTTCGGCTACGTAGCGAAAGGTTTGTTTTTTCTTTGTGGCATTTTTAAGGAAAATATCAAAGCAATATACAAAACCAACAAAATTTTAAAGAGCGGTGCGTCGAACAGTCTCGTATGATAGCGAATCGTCTGTTCGTGGTCGCGACTTAACGAATTGGCTACACTCACTAACGATTGGCACTATTCAAACTTAGAAGTAAATACTTCTACTTGTTTTAAATGTCAAGTAGTATCTTTACTTCGG